GCAACAGGCTATGGAACTTTAGAGGGCAAGTGTGAAATGATAGGATTCAAGTATTATGATATGATCAACAAAGGAGAAATGACTTTGGATCAGGCGCTCGACGATATCATGGCCTACACGCGGTCACACAACATGAATCCAAAGGAGGTACAATATTGCTGGTTATCCCTTCACTTGGGTCTCGGATTATGCTTCCAGTTAAAAGTCAACGACAAGAAGCCACTTCGAAGATTCTTACTGGAACTTCTTCAATACAGTCGAGGAATAGACATGGGTCTATTTATGAGAGATTTCATGTATTATGATGACTTGTCTGTTTCCAACGAAACACTAGACAAGGCTTACCATGTAATCCAGGCAGCTGCTGGATTTGTAGTGGATTTCACAGAGAATAAGTTGGGAGATAAACTATTTAAAGGCCCAGCTCGTGTGGTGTATAAAGAACTCATACAGGGAAGCCAAGCTTATTATCTCGATATACCCATAGGGCACCCAACTCTCCTAATGACGGGCAATACCTCATCAGATAACCATATTGGAACCCAGTGCCTCACTCTGGCGTGTGAAAATTTGAAACCGCAAGTTGTTCTGCTACTGCTACAATATGGTGCAACACCACATGGAAAACCTCTCGAACACGTACTTCGAAATCTTGGATCCCAACAAATTATCGAGGAAGCAACCGGACAAGGCATATCCGAAAATCCAATGGAACTACTAGAACGGTGCTTAGAATATATTCTGCGAACAATCAAAACACTTCATCTAAATTTTGATGGTCAAACCGTGGCACATCTTAAAGAAAAGTCTCCGCATGTTTATTTTATACGAGAAAGTGCTGCAAGATATTTGCCGAGTGAATACTATAAAGCTCCCCGCAAACTGAAACAATTGTGTCGATGTGAAATTCGAGAGACCCTTTTGAAAAATGACCAATTACCATCTGGAATAACAAACCTTCCAAATCTTTCTGAACATTTAGTCAAATACGTACAACTGGCATGTTAGGAGATCTAACTTTTATTAATATTCCATATTTTGTTTCAACAATTTTAAGTAATTTTCCAATGTAAAATGTCAATAAATTAGCATACATAAAAAAATCAAATTCAGTGTTCATCAATACATCTTTTCATTACTTTATTATGATGTAACAAAATTTATAGTTTTTATGTCCACTAAGAGAGAGAGGGGGAAATGGGAAAGGGTAGTTTGTTTTGATAATTATTGGTTAAAACTGATGTTCATTGAAATCAAAAACAGAAAGCAGAATTTATATATACTAGTATCTTACTGTAGCTTACTTGTGTGCCAAGTTATACTGAAATCAGATCAAAACTGTAGGAGAACTAGCATTTTGAAAAATTGTTTACAGACTAGACGGACCACGGGCACCTTAATTACTATATATCGCATGTTTTTTCCCTCAAGTCTCTGACTAGTAGAGCAAAAAATACAAGAAGCAAGTGCACACCGCTATATACTTTAATTTTCAAATAAAAATCAGTTAACTGACAAAAGTGAGAACAAGTAAGAGAAAAATTCATGTGTCGAGCATGCTCCATCGTCTCAAGCCACGGCCCGGAGTCCGCATAAAGCTCCAGAATGGGAGAGGATCGTACATTTGCCGTGGTTTGCGACGATGAGCATGCTCCTGTATCTAATCAGCTCGAAGATGTGAAACAGACGTATCAGATTCTGTTGTAGCAACAACTCTTGCCGCTCAAAACTTCGGCTATTTCCACGTGTATTTTGCGATTTTTGGTTTCCCCTGTTCCCTCCCCTTCCCCACCTTTTTTTTTTTTTTCAAAACTACGACCCAGTATTGACCACAGGCACCTGAAGTATGGATGATACCCCCCCTTTTTATATGAAAAAAATGTAAGAGTGTATAATACCTCAAAACTTAGTCAAAAGTATTTTCCCCGTCAAACACATCTATATGTCGTTATGCAAGCAGATTGTACTTTTTCTCACGTTTAAAAAATGGCTTTACAGTTTATACGGTATAATAAAAAATTTTTATTTTATACTTTTGGGGTATTATACATATACACTCTTACATTTTTTTTTCATAAAAAGGGGGGGGGGGGTTATTATCCATACTTCAGGTGCCTGTGGTATTGACAAGGAGGACGTGTTACTTTATCGCGGCGATCTCCAGGATGTACAAGATCCACGCGCTCATTTCATGTTGTCGTAAGATCACTGCTGAGGGTTTAACTTGCAAAGTCTTGCAAAGAACGACTGGTTGGGATGAAATGGAACATTTGGAGATAACAAACAGTATTCAAGATCAAAAGTCCATATTAAAATACAATACAAAATAGGAGCAGAGAAAACATGGACCTCCAACACATTAGAGGTGGGATCACGCGCCGTGGAAGAGTGAGCATCCCCTGCCGACCGGTCACACCCGCCGTGTGCCCCTTGTCATGATCGGGAAATAACGGAAAAAGCAGTCGTCAACTCAGAGTATAAATAATGCACTAACAATCGAATTAGTATGAAAAAGTTAGTCAGCATTTAACTCAATGATAAATTGTATTTGCTGACAAGGTCATCGTATCGATCATAGTACTTACGAAATGATGACTTTAAATGAGACTGCTGAAATCAGTGTTTCATCAACTTGTTTGTCAATAATTTACCTCGTTTAAGAAATTGTTCATAAGTAAAGCATGCTCTTGTGCATCGAATCAACAGAGATTTATAAACTTAGTATAACAGGTGATTAAGGGCATATTGCTGCATAAGTAAGTGAAGCTGACGATAGAAAAGTTTGTCATCACGTTTATCATCGAGGTTGGTTGTTAGATTACCATTAACGTTTTTATCAAATAAAATATCCAAATATGAAACAGATGTGTCAGACTCTGTGGTGTCTTTTATATCAAGCTCACCGGGATATATTGTGGGAACAAGTCTTCCGCCATTCTGATAGTTTGTGGGTAGTAGTGTACTTACACATGTTTTTTTTTATTGATAACACAGACATCAAGCGCCTGTAATTGATAAGGGTTGGTTTTGCGCCCATCCGCGGAATAAGGGATAGACTTGGGCCCCCTAGGAGATTTGGGGTTAGTCCTCCAAGGGATTAGTGTTTACTAGTGTAGTATTAACTACAAATACATTTTTTAAAATAATTGAATTAATAAATTCAGTTGAACCAAACATTCGATCATAGTTTACAGATCCATGTTATTTTGCAAGATGTTTCCGTTTCAAAGACATCACGTTTTTTATTTTGATATTCATGTAATGAAAAACAAAAAAAGAGTAATAACTTACTTTTTTTAACAAATATTTTAACCAATAACATTTGATTTCTAAACATGATAGTTTAACATTCATATAATTTTACAAGCAGGAAATACATGTGATGTCAACATAATTACTCAATCTACACAGTAAACCTTGCTTTTATAAAATCTCCAGAACAAATAAATCCTTCCCAGATATCCATAAATAGGTCCTCAAATAATTTTGAACGTGGTTGCGATTTTTACTTCCTTTTAGGAAAGATTTATTCATACCAAAGTTTAAGTACTGTAAAAGTGCACATTAAATGTACTAGCAAACAAGTTCTTAAAGCAATATGAAACACAGTTTTTAGTGATTTTTTAAGGATATAAATTTAAGTACTGTACCATTTACAATAGTTTCAGTAGAAGAAGAACTTCTACTGCTTTACATATTTCATTTATTTAAAAAAAAAATCTATTAAGAAGATCAAATCTGAGCAAATTTCAATTTTCGCTATCCAGTACAAAGATTGATTTACTAGTATTATGTAACATAATATATCCTAATAATTTAATTCTGTTTGTATTCTTGTCTCTCATTGGTTGATTTCCAAAAAGGAACGCATAACATTTTGTATAATCTGGTTTGGTATGGGGACACACCCCCTCGACAACCAGCTGAATCATCTGTATCCATCAATCCCCTCATTTCCAGTCCTTCGGATTCATGAAAAATTCCAGATTTAATGAATGTACCTTTAACTTCAAACAGTTGCTCGATCTTACCTCATGTAAACAAGCATCATGGTTGCTAGATCTATGTATCAGTTTTTACCTCCCCTTGCTTCCCATCACTTCCATTACTACGGTTGTATTATTGCGCGGTAAATTTGAACTAATAAAAACAACACAATTTTACATCCCCAGTTGTTTAATTATTTTAAAATTAAATTATAAGGAATGACTCTAATTCTTGGCCAGATTATCGGGTATAATATGGTTTGGGTCAGTTTACGCTTTTTTATAATCCGCTTCGCGGATTATAAAGCGTAAACTGACCCAAACCATATTATACTCGATAATCTGGCCAAGAATTAGAGTCATTCCTTAATTGTAAAAAAAAAATTCTTCATACATTGTACAAAACGTGAACAGTGATGCTTAGTTTTAGTCTTACTGATTGTAAAGATTTAATGTACAGGTAGCTAATTAGCAAAATAGCACATTTCACATGTAAAGCAAATCAAAATTTGAAAAAAAGAACAGCTCATATATAGTGGTAAACACGGGGTAATCAATCTCCCATCTTTTACATATTCACAATGAGCAAATGAAAATTCAAAGCTTTGTGAACATAAAGTACATGTACATGTATAAAGTCATTTCATAAAATTCATTTTTCAAAATTTAAGTACATGACATCTGTAAATATTTATACAGTGTTAACATTTAGCACTATTCTATTCAGGGAAAGGGGGAAAATGAGATGAAAACTTCACTGAAGTTAAAATAGTATGATTTAAAAATTAAATCAAATCGAATGAAATGCCTCGAGCAAATTAAAAATGTTTTTTTAAAACAATTTTTAGGGCTAATAAAAGTGATTCAGACTAGTAAGAATTTGCCTTTAAGTTTCCTAATTTACTACACCTATTGAGCCAGTGCTTAGAAAAAAAGTTATGCCGTACTGAGATTAAAAATGGACAAAAAACAAAGAAATAAATGGCAAGGGCATAAATATATCATATACTGGCAATATTTGTATCAAGCCCAAAGATTTCAAGTGCATAATATTCATGACTCAATATTTATGACTAAATCAATAAACTTATTTGACTGAACACAGTATGATAAAAATTAAAACAAAAAAATACAAGAAACAAAACAAATATGGATATACTAATACAAGTGTATATAACATTATATAAATGGATATCAAGTTATTACATTTTTTAAAAAATAATCTATACAAGAGACAGACATAAATTATGAAATTATCCCCATCTTAATTTTTCAAGAAGTGTGTTTCAACATCTTCATGAAAAAATTCAAACAAATATACATTAGAGATTATACATATATAGATTTAGAATATGCATATAATTTATATACAATAATGCATATATATACACATGTATTACACTAAACTAGAACCAGAAAAGAAGTAGTGTATCACATAAACCATTCTGGTACAGCAACAGATATTGTATCAAATACATGATGTTTAAACTATGTAAAATATTTGTGTCTTCAAGAAAGGCAAGAGTGTAGCTTTATGTGACTAAGTTAAGTTAGGCTTTAAAAAAATATGTTTGTTTCCTGTAACATTCCCAAAAAATCAATGGTCGGTAGATCGGAATTCTTTTTTTTATTTTTTTAATTTAATTTTATTATTATTATTTTTTTTTTGCATTGCTTATGAATGGTCAAACATCCGCGGACTGAATATACCAGCAGGTGTTATATTTACAACGGACACCCAACATGGCACCCAAAATGGCTGCCTAGCGGCAGAAAACGAACTTCAGAAAGTTGTTGGGGGAAATCGTTGTTACAATAATGATTACTCTTCATATTTAAGGTAAATGTAAAGTAGGTTGAAATATTTTATGTCTCAAGTTAAGCTACAAGCTAATTTTTTTTTAATAAATGGAATCAGATGATTGATCAAACGCAGTTTTGAATGGGTCAGTCGGGTTACAGGAAACAAACATAATTTTTTTTTTAAGGCCTTATTCTTTTTAAATACAGACAGTCAGAATTTAGAATAATGTTCAGCTGTTGGCAAGGTTGCTGGTGCCTGCATTCAAATAATTTTCTCCAAGAATGACACGGACACATCCATAGGAATACATTGGAACAGGAATGGTCCCACACCTTTCCCAGACATTTTTCTCAGGATCAAAATACTCAATGATGTCAGTATACAAATCTGACTGTGCCCCTCTTCTCCTTCCACCAAAAGCATATAGTTTCTCATCCAGAACTGTAAGACTAACAAAGTCTCTTGGGCATGACATGTCTGGTAAAACATCCCAAGTTTTGTTGTCTGGATGGAATTTGAAGGAACCCTCTAGCCCAACAACATAAATGTAATTATTCAACACTGCTGCACTGACACACATGTCAGACGCAGGCAAGGACTGTTCTAACACCGTCCCCTGGCCCGTTTCAGTATCAAAGCATTGGACAGTGTTAGTCACCACCTCTTCTTGGTTTTTCCCTCCAAAAAGGAAAATACAGTTGGCATATGCCACATAACCCATGTTCTCCACAGGACTAGCTAGACTTCCATAAAACTTCCACTGCTTACTTCCAGGTTTCCAGACTTCCACAGAATGCAAAACACTGTCTTCATCAAATCCTCCCAAAACATAAATACTTTCATCCACTGGGGCCATAGCATGTCTTCGTCTGGGCTGTAATAGACTGGTTCCTCGAATCCAGGTTGCGAAGTCATAATCAAACTTCCAGAACTCTCCACTCCTCAAGCCTCCTGAAACATAGATGTCGTTACCCAGAACACATGCAGCAAATTCATTCCTTTTCTTGAAAGGCAGCTGTTTCAGAGCAAAAAATTCCCTGGAATCTGACTTGAAGCACTCAACATCATTACTCAATCCATCTGCAAGACGACCTCCAAGAAGGACAGCGACCTCTACATTTGCTGATGTTGTTGATGATCTTGGA